CTGCGCTATGAAAGCTAATATTTCGTCCAACTCTATTACAATGACTATGAAGAGCTCTCGTCCGGGCTATATATATGTGTGTGTACAGATATATGCGTATAGTATCTTTATACATATAAATGCAAGTCTATTTTGAAGCAGCTTTTGCTTTTTAAGTGTCGGCCCACCTGTTGTGACGAGACTCGCCATCTGTGCCTAGAGGTTGCAGAGAATCCATTTACCATCGGAATGGCTGCCCAGTCCTTTGCGCAATAAGAATGTTTTCGGCAATTTCGGCGAGATACAGAAAGAGACTCGGCGGAGAAAGTGTCGGTTCTGTTCGGGAGAGAGAGGAAAGTGGTTCAGTGGTATTTCGTGTGAATAAAAGGTTTTTTATTCGAATACCTACATTTTTAAGATTTTAAGTGCCCGGCGATAAATTTTGCAAAATGAGATAATCATCGAAAATGTAAACGGGGGTTGTTTAACTAAACACTGAGGTGAATGCATGTTATTTAGATAAATTAATAAATATATTTGTTAATATTATTAGGTCAATTAGCAAAGTGGCGTTTTGAGAGGTACACTTGATAGACATATTAGGGACAGAGAAAGTTAAGTAGCTCATGCATTAACAGAATATATATCAAAGTCGATTCCTAAGTGATAACAAAATCCTTATATGATGCAGAAGATAATTTATACTTAATGAAAAGACAGATAAAATCATTTGAAATCAAATATAAATGCAGATGCATTTATAAAGGAAGGGCTTCGATAAATATAATAAACGGGAAGAAAACTAACAGATTTTGGAAATTAGTAGTCAGTGCACAAATATGAATTTATAAAGCCCAACATAAAAAAGATGAAGTTAATAAAGAAACTGAGATTGAAAATTCTTCGAAAGATAAAATTTATTTTGCAGTTGTGTTGCTTTTATATTTTATTTGAGATGACGTATTAGACTTTTTTTTAATTGTAAAATAGCCAACCAGCAGCTGAGCGGTTGGCTAGTCGCTGAACACTGGTAGTTCAGATCATGTTCTTCAGAGGTTCAAATCCCGCGCACGGGCTGGCTGCTTGGCCGTTTTCGTGGTTTTCCCCATGTGTAGCGTGTATACGAGCTGGTTTTCCTTAGAAAGTCCTCCACGAAGGCATCCCTTCCATTAGGCAGATAGCCCTGGTGTGCTTTGCCATAATTTAATACACCACCACCACCTTTAGAAAGTCCTCCACGAAGGCATCCCTCCCTTTAGGCAGATAGCCCTCGAGGCCTTGCCATAATCACATACACACACATTAATTGTAAAATACTGCTTTTCTTAACCATAGCGAAAAGAAGACATTTAAAAATTTCTTAGGAATGTTTCATGTTTGGGTACCGTTTCATAATTTGCAGTGTTTTTATACGAATGATTAAGCTTATACATGATATATATTGAAAAAGAAGTCTTATTAAATGAAAAGGATGACTTTTCAATAAACGGCTCTGCAAAGCTGCCTCACCGAATTTTTTCTTTTCTTTGTGTCATTTCAAGAGCTCTTCTTAGTAATTAATCAACTAGAAATATTTTAAATTCGAAAATCCTGATGAAATTGATTATAATGTAATATCTAAAATTAGAAAGGCAATTAAATGATAACTTTCTAAGGCAATATTTTCCTTCTTTTATACCAATTTTCTTTTTTCTACATCATTACGTGTATAACAAAGAGCAGATTAAGGTATATAAACTCCGCTTTTTTCATTATTCATTAATTAAAACTTTTAACTGCAAATTTTATACAAGAATATTTAGTTTTATGCATAAGTTTACTTAAAAGCGCCTTATTAAATTTCGATATCACAAATGAGCCGAAACTGTCTGCTCATTTGAAAATTTACTACTATTAAAATTTTTTGTTAGTTATAAATTTACGTGCGTAATATTTAATAAGTGCATAATTAGTATTAATATGCATATAATAAATTTTTAATACGCAGATAATATTTACTAAGGGAAAGGATGTTAATTTATTTTTGTAGAAATAATAATTTTAAGTAAAGGCTACTTACAAATTTATGAACAAAAATTTGTAAGTAATTTATGAAATGTTGTGTAGTTTATGAAATGTTAGAAGCATTTTTCGAAAATATTTTCTTATATATTATTCTGTAGTTTATAAACCGTCTATTGCGTTTATAATATTAAGCTTAATACATGTGTATCTAGAAGTAATTAATTCCTAAATACACATACAAATTTCAAACTTATACGTAAGCCTACAGTTGCATGCATAAAAATACTGAAATTTCTGTATTTATTTCGTTAGTCATTTTGATTATAAGAATATTATTTGTAACTGTATTTTTATGTATTGGCATATTATATATTGGCAATTTTTAATTTTAATTTTTTATGTATAAGCATTTTTGTATATTGACATTTATAATCCATGTTTTTTGTAACTTCCTAATATATATATATATTTTTTCCGTCCATCTATTTTTCATGTGAGTTAACTTTTCACATTACACAACGGTCAGATTAATTAATTTTTTTCGTGCAATAGCAAGTCTTCCAGCACTAAAATTTGGCAGTTTTATCGCGCTTATACAGTTTTTCGAGTTTTACCAGGCAAATTTCTTATTGTTTATGTAGTACTATGCTACAACATTTCGTGGAGCTACAGCTCCTGGTAACGTTTTAGCAAGGTTTGCTGCAATGTTCCTACCTACTACCATTCTTTCAAATCTTTTTGCAGCATTATGCGCAAAAGTTTTTGAGACCAGGTAGGTCTTACGTCTAATTACCAGTTCGCTTTACATTTTCTTTTTCAATTTGTAACTGTATCATATAAGTGTGTGGATACACGTTGATAATGTCCTGTAATTTAAGATGAGGATTTAAAATTCCAAAGGCAGTCCGTTCACTGTAGAATCTCAGTTCTTTGCAAATATATTTAGTATCGGACATAAGCAAATGCCTCTGTCACGTCACTGTAATAGGAAATAGTTTAAATTATCTTATAATGTGCGTTTACTTGATCAGAATACTCATGCATTACAGTAAGTTCCTAATAAACTGGTAACAATTGATCCGTAAAAGAGAAATCATATAGCCGAAAAATGTATGACAACATTTATTCTGATTTTTTAAAGTTGCAAAGCATTTATATATATCTATGCATTAGAATGATTTTGAAATTCGAAAACATAACACAGAAATTTTGGCTTTCATAATTTGTAATCGCAGTTACGGAAATCCTTACTAATAATCCAGATTTTACTGAATTTCCCAAATATATTTAGAGTTATGATTATTTAGGCAGGCGAAAAAATAATTACATATAAATTTTAACCTATCTGACTTATATCATAAATAGATCATAATTATGGGTTTTTTTCGCATTCAGATGACAGACAGTTAATTTGTATTATTGTTATGAAGTAACCGTGAAATTTCGTTCTGTATTAATCCAAAATACCACTGCGTTTTCTGGTTGCAAAAGACTTCCATGATATGATATAACAAATTTGCTGTCTGACATTACAGCTAGTGTTTAACTAAGTTCATTAATAGCTTTTTACAACATATTTCATCTCAGTCTTGGTACTTAAAAGATTTTCCTCAGTGTATTTTTCTATTTATATGGTCATAATATATCTTCTGAATACTGCAGTATTAGCAATAAAACATCCTTTATTAAATCAGGATGTTAGAAGCGTAATTTTAATTATAAAACGTATTTTGCTTTGAACACTTCTGTATTTTTGAAGGAATTGATAAATAAAGCATTATGAAGCTAGAGTTGACATATCGCAGTGCAGTGATGTATTAGACTTTCTGCAGAAGATTTAAAAGTCCGATAGAGTCCTAGGAATCTAGAGAAATAAACTTCTCCACGTATGCTTCATAATCTTTTTCAACTGATTACGCCTGAATGAAGAAAAAATTATTCGGTGGCCCAAAGCAAATGAATTCTCCCATGTCCTATTTAGTTTATCTTGGCCCACCTCATTTAATATCGTCTTACATTCCCTGTGTTCTTCACTTCTGGGTTCGGTTTATCTTGAGCCACCATGTATTAAACTGTTTTTCAGTACAATTAACTCAGAGAGTTAATTGAAAATAATTAAACTAATAATTTCTTTTATCATTTTATAAATAAATATGCATGAAGGAATGTTAAATTTGCTAAGAGTTATTTGAAATTTTCTTTATTGGTTGGTTTATCTTATCAGAAATCAGAAAATAATAACCATGTTCAACATGTATTTCTCTTGTTGCTAATTTATTCCGAAATTACTCACTCTTCCGCAAAATAAAATAAGAACTTTGATTTTTCTTCATCTTTACAAAAATAATATTCGCTTTACGACATGCTTAAATAAAAGCAACGTGCTTAACGTACTTCCGTTCGCTTATCGAACTTCATTATTTTTTTTTTTTTAAAGAAACGATTAAATAAGCAATTGTCAAGAATTCAAGCGAAAAGACGGGGACGCACGCAAGACCGTTTAGTTTGTTGCCGCACGAGGTGTTTGGAAATAGCCTTTGTTACTAGATGATTAAATACAGCCCTTGTATTCTTGCCAACCCCCTTTGAACCTTTGTGAAACCTCAAAATCGTTCTCTCCCTCGAGCTCGGATTCTATACTAGTGCTACCCATATCACTAAGCCCTCCGATCACAAAGGTACCTGGTCTGTGTTTGCAAACAAGACATGTCTTTAATGACTGCTTTCCTAAAGAACCAGGGTGCTTTCCGTAACCCTGCTACAACAGCAACTGCCCCCCTCGACCCCCTTGCATGCAGGAAGTTATAATAGCCAATAGAGCATTGAGGGTGAGGGGGCCCCTGAGTTCCGTTCCAGGATTAGAGTTCTCCCTGAAGATCATGAGAGGCTAAATTGTAAAGCCAGCTAGAGCAGGACCCCAATCCTGGGATGGTTAAACATCTTTTTAAATAAATAAATAAATAAAAATGCTCTCAAACTTTTATATATATATATATTTTTTTTATTTTTCATTTCAGCGAGAGCGCGGTCCATTGGGTTGATCTCTTTCTGTTCCCGCTCGATGACGCTCAATTGCAAAGCTAATGTTCGAGTTTATTATGTCCATCAAAGAGCGGTCCTTTGGAGAAGGATGGGGCATCCGAAGCAGTGATCCTTAATCCAGTTCGAAAATGAAGATGCTTGATGTACTTCAGCAAAATGACCGTGGCGGCGGCCCCTTTAGAAGGTTTCTTATTTTCGTAAATCGTTTTGACATGCTGCTTTTCAGCTGGGATACACTTCATGACTAAGCTTGCAATCATTTAAACGCGACCGAAAGAAATGGGATAAGATATTATGCTATATAAAAAGTCTATCCATGTAAAATGAAATTGCTTCGGAAGCAGGGTCAGCTAGTTTTTCTTGCTTCTCTGATTGTTATAATGTTGTCATAAGTAGTAATTCATGGATTTATAAACTATTTTTATATATAAAATGAGGCTTTAGTTTAATAACAAAAATATTGATAATGCATCTGATATTTCTCTTACGAATAACCTTAATAAAACATGTAATAATTTTGTTATTTAATTCAGAATGAAATTTCATTTTCGCATTATTTTAGAAACATAGTTTTCATAGGATTTTTTAAGACTTATTATTATTTAAGAAATAATTATAAAATTCTCTAAAAAGGAAATAATTTCCATACTTAAAATTTAGCTGTGCATTTATCAAGTAAAAAATACGAATATATTGAAACTGCTTTGTATAGGTATCAAAAGCAGTTTTTAAGCTAGTTGGAAGTCAGATAAAATAAGTGTGCATTTTAAAATTCATAACAACTAGGGAATTTCCCTTTTTTAATTAAATATATATTTAATTTTAACATTCCTTCATCTAGTGAGAAAATCGAAACACTCAATATAGTATATATACATATATATATATATAGTTTGTTCTCCTTTCTTAAATTATATATATATTAAACTTAGGAGATAATATAATCAATTAATCAATATTGTTTAGGAAATAAATTATATATAAATATATATATATATATATAATTTATATATATATATATATTATATATTATATTTTATTTATATATTATTATATATATATATATATATATATATATATATATAATATAGAGATAATATAATCAATTAATCAATACTGTTTAGGAAATAAATTATTATATATATATATATATAATGTTGTATGATCTTAATCCATTTAGTGCGATGCAGCAATTGCGCAAGTAGTAATAACTTGTTTTCGCACTAAATGGATTTAAGATCATACAACATTTAATTTTTCCTTTTACAATTGAAATTTTATTCTTCATGATGATTTAACTCCAGTCCCCGTTAAAACATTATTAACATTTTGCTTTCAAATTACTTCAAAACATCTTTCAAAATATAACTTACCAGTCTGGATTCACACTTTTAAAATAATTCTACTTTAATTAAACTTAGGAGATAATATAATCAATTAATCAATACTGTTTAGGAAATAAATTATTATATATATATATATATATATATATATATATATATATATATATATATATATATATATAATGTTGAATGTCGTCCCCTAAATTACTTCGTCCTATACGTCCCCTACGTCCCATAAATTACTTCTCACAAGTTTCACCACCTGAAATAGTAATTCAAAGTATCCTCGCTGCCGGAATTTCGGACACACACCCCTTCTGAGTAAGACACAGAAGAGAACAACACTTTACCGACATCCCACTAGAAAGAACGTAAGTTAATTAATGCACTTTCTGGCCTTTTATATATTCATGTACATTTCACATTTTACTTTCTTATTATATATTTCAATTTTTCATTTCATTTGTTTTTGCAAAGCTAGCATTGTTATGTTTCTTAATTTACTAATGTTTATTTAAATTACTTTGAGTTCTATTTCATAATTCCAATTAAGATTACTACTGTTTATTTTTATACAAATAGTCTTGAATTAACATGCATAAAAGCGAAGGTGTCGGTGGACATTTACTCAGGTATTGTGTAAATTTTACTACATAAATTGCTTTTCACTCAAAATTTATAAAGAATCTTGTATTAGCGAAAATGCTTCATTCAGAATGAGTTCTTTGGTACTCTAATTTGGTTATAAATCCCATCACTTCACGGAACTACAATTTTGGCCTAACTTAATTTGCCAATTTGACATCATCATTCTTACTTGTGTAAAAGACGAAACACCTTCGCATTTATTAATTATTGTTCATTGAACGGGAGTTGGTTTGTTCCCCTTGAAAAGTCAACTAATTTCCGATCAATAGCGATAATTACTTGTTTTTAATTTCTTTTTCAAAATTTGAAATTTTGTTATTCATGATTTAAATTCAAGTCCCCGTAAAACTTTTTTTTTTTTTCATAATTTACATTCAAGTTACTTCAAAACACAATTTTTGGAATTAAACTTCCTATATATGGGTTCCCTCTTTTTTGATACTTCTACTATATTTATATTACAAGATAATATAATCAATATTTCATTAGTAAATAAATTATATATATATGTGATGTATCAGCTTTTGTCCAGAATAAATAGATCGTTCAAGAAATATAGATGTAGTCGTAGCTTAAATTATCAGACGATAAGTTTAAAAAACAGGATCCATTTATTATTATTCAGGAGAAATAGCAGTTACAAAATCAGATATCCGGAGTAAATAAAAAGAATTACTAATAACTTTTTGTATAAAGTTTACTGCATCATTGCATTAAAGAAAAGCCCCCGATATTCTTTTGCGAGTCCTTTTATAGCCTCTGGAAAGGCGGAGCTTCCAAGAAATGACGTCAGCCTCGTCAGCCAATCCAGTCCGCTTTAAATATTTCCAGAAGATTCTATAACTGTACGTGTAGAAAAGGCGGGAAAAACAACTTGACTACGGGGCTGTTGATTTAATTCCACGTACTTTCAAATAAGAGAACGTCGCCATTAAAAATGAAAAGAACATATAGTTAGAATTTTAAGTGTATTCTTGACTATGGAATTTTATTATTACATATATATATTTTTTCCGCTATTTAATTATTGTTTTTGTAGCTAGTTTTTGATGTTTTTTGTGTCTTTTTATTATTTTTTTTATTTTGATTTTAATTTTTATGTATTGGCATATTATATATTGGCAATTTTAATTTTAATTTTTTATGTATAGGCAATTTATATATTGACATTTATAATCCATGTTTTTGTAACTTCCTGATATATATATATATATTTTTCTGTCCATTTTTTTAATGTGAGTTAACTTTTCACATTACACAACGGTCAGATTAATTATTTTTTTTTTCGTGCAATAGCAAGTCTTCCAGCACTAAAATTTGGCAATTTTATCGCGCTTGTACACTTTTTCCAGTTTACCAGGCAAATTTCTTATTGTCTATGTAGTACTATGTTACAACATTTCGTGGAGCTACAGCTCCTGGTAACTTTTTAGCAAGGTTGCTGCAATGTTCCTACCTACTACTATTCTTTCAAATCTTTTTGCAGCATTATGCGCAACAGTTTTTGAGACCAGATAGGTCTTTCGTCATATAGATATAGATATATAGGGCGATGAATTTAACTGAAGATCTCCTTTTTTAATACTTAGTTTTGGATTTTCACGGAAATGTTACATTTTAGTGTATATGGTAGAATAATAAACACAAAAGGAAGCAATACAAGCGCTGAGACGGTGCAACAGTAGTTCATTTTCGAGAAATAGATGCGACACAGGTTAGCATTAAAATGGGCGTCAATATGGACACTAGTGTTAGAAATGCATAGTATTGCTTTATTATTATTGATCCACTAAAAGTCTCTATTTCATTGTAAATGGATGAAAGATTTTTTTCCACGTTTGCCATTAGTAAGTACATACATCATTCGCATTGAATAATATAAAGAGGATTAATTTTGAAACTGCGCTTTAAAAAATGTATTATAGGCATGTTACTGTTTTAAAATAAAGAGGGGGAAATAGCCAACTTAAACAGAGACTGTGTACGAAGTAAAGGTACCATAAATTAAATATTAATGTTGCATGTATATATCATGCAATTATTAATAGTGTTGAATTAATTTTAATCTCGTTCTTCTGTAAGCGGGTCTTTGGTTTTCAATTGTAAGTTTTATCTCAAACCAGATTAAAAATAAAATTTCTTGGTTTAGTGTTTGAAAAGCATATGTACCCATTATAACGATCCAAGCAAATTTCTCTTTGATCTCAGGTGTATAGTTCTTGTACAGGTGTGAAAAAGGTTAATTTTCTTGATAATTTCTCTTTTTCAAACTCCGTGATATAATGAACATCTTGGATTTAAACATTAGAAAATCATAATTACTGTTTGTTTTGTGTAATGTTACTGCAAAATACTTTGGCATGAAAAAAATGGTTGTTACATTCTGTGGCAAACTAAGCGAAATAAATCTATGGCATAGATTCAACAAAAAGCAACGTTAAGCAAAACCTCATACTTTCAATCATCACTGAAGAAAAAGAACTGAGTGCGTCGAGCTTCCATTCACCACGTTTGATTGATTACATTTCATGTTTTACATGCATTCTCTTTTGTGTTGTTTGCTGTTTGTTTTGTTTGTAGCTGTTTAAAAGACTTTGGTTTTTTTTAATTAGTCCTCAACATTTTCAGTGAAAAATCAAAATAAATATAGAAAATGCTGTATTTTATCTATAAAATTTTTCATACTTATCATTGTTCTATCTCTGATTAAGTAAACAATATACAGCGTTTCATATTTCTGGAAATAAGATCTGTGATTTATGATAGGAATAATTCAAAAGAACTCTAAATATATTTAAAAACCTTATTTGGCATCTCCTGAGCTTGATTTTGGTTTACCAGAGTTAAATGAATTAAGTCAGTGAATTCGGCAGTTTCTTTCAAGATGTGTGTGTATGATTACGGCAAAGCCTCAAGCTATCTGCCTAAAGGGGGGATGCGTTCGTGGAGGACTTTCTAAGGGAAACTGGCTCGTATACACGTTAAACATGGGAAAAACCACGAAAACGCCCATGCAGCCAGCCCGTTTGCGGGATTCGAACCTCGGACCAAACTACCAGTTTTCAAGATGAGATTGTTGTTTTACGTGCTTTTCTATGTATCTTAAATTTTCTTTAGGATGTCGGCACCAAATTATCTTCCTGAGCAAGACACGCGTGCTTCTCCACAATTACACCATCAGATTCTCTAGCAG